GGATTCTCCCATTGCCAGCCTGGAGAACTCCTATTCATCCTACTAGACCCAACGAAAGCATGCAACTTTTCTGTGAAATGTGTCCCTACTTATCAAAGTGAGTTGATCACCAAAAATTGTACAGACAAATCTTGACTTAAAGGGAGAGGATAGATTGGGGAGTGCAGAACAGAATTTCAAATTCCCAGGACATTTAGACTTTTTGAAGATAGGAATTCATCTGGATGAACCCTTTAAACTTTTGGCCTGAGATAATCTCTACACCTTAAAACAAAAAATCACCTAAACCAAACCTATTGCCAGACCCCATTCATAGTGACCCCTATGTAGGATGTCCAAAACTGCGAGTATTTATGGGAACAAAGAGCCTCATCTTTCTCCCTCAGAGTACTGGCTGGATTTGAACCACTGACCTTCTGGTTAGCAAACCAATGCATAACATACCAAGCTACCAGGGCTTCTGAATTGAACAACAGTTCAACTTAATTAGTAAAGAATGTCTGCTTTGAGCATTGAGCTCTTTTTTCCTTTTTAATCATTTTATTGGGAGCTCATACAACGCTTCTCACAATCCATACATACATCCATTGTGTCAAGCACATTTTATGTTTTTGCCATCATCATTCTCAAAAAAATTTCTTTCTAATTGAGCCCTTGGTATCAGCTCCTCATTTTCCCCCCTCCCTCTCCCATCCTCCCGCCCTCATGAACCCTTGATAATTTATAAATTATTATTACTTTTTCATGTCTTACACTGTCCGATGTCTCCATTCACCCACTTTTCTGTTGTCCATTCCCCAGGGACGGGGTTATATGTAGATCATTGTGATCGGTTCCCTTTTTCTACCCCATCCTCCCTTTCCCCCTCCTGGTATGGCTATTCTAATTATTGGTCCTGAGGGTTTTATCTGTCCTAGATTCCCTGTGTTTCTACCTTATCGGTACCAGTGTGCCACCTCTGGTCTAGCCAGATTTGTAAGATAGAATTGGGATCATGATAGTGGGAGGCGGGGCACGGGAGGAAGCATTAAAGAACTAGAGGAAAGTTGTATGTTTCATTGGTGCTATACTGCACCCTGACTAGCTCGTCACTTCCCTACGACCCTTCTGTAAATGGATGTCCAGTTGCCTACAGATGGGCTTTGGGTTCCCAGTCTGCACTCCCCCTCATTCACAATGATAGGATTTTTTTGTTCTTTGATGCCTGATGCTTGATCCCATCAACACCTCATGATAACACAGGCTGGTGTGTGTCTTCCATGTGGGCTTTGTTGCTTCTCAGCTAGAGGGCCATTTGCTTATCTTCAAGCCTTTAAGACTCCATACACTATATCTTTTGATAGCCCGGCACCATCAACTTTCTTCACCACATTTGCTTAGGCATCTGCTTTGTCTTCAGCCTTCCTGTTGGGAAGAGCATTGATCTCTTTTAAAGAACCATCTCTATAAGCTCAAATTCACAATATCAACTTGAAAGGTTAGCAAAGAAATTTAGGAAGCAATGAATTTATATTACTGGGGAGAAGTAACTCCAAAAAAGAGAGCGAGAGAATGGTTGTACAACTTGAAGGATGTATTCAATGTCAATTAATTGTATATAGAGAAATTGTTGGATTGGTGTATATATTTTGCTGTGTGTACTTTCAACAACAAAAAAAGTGAAATAATCATTTTCAGTGAATGGATCACACCTCCTTGTGTACTGTATAGGACTCTCCAGTTTCTCCCCTGCTGTAGTGCACTGTTGAACCCTTACAAGCCCTTTCCCACTTCCACTCTGAGCTCCTGGTGGGCAGGAACTGTCTAGCACTGATTTTATGTACCCAGTGCTCAGTCTATATAACAGGGCCTCCACCAAGTCTTCTGGTACTCCTTACGATATTCATACACCCATTATCTCAACTATTTTCTTAACTATTTCCTCACTTCCCAAACAAACATCATTGTGCTTGTTTATTTTTCACTGGTATGAACGTTCTCTTGCTTTACCTTTTGTATTATTTCCTGGGAATTTGTTCTTCCAGGTAGAAATAGTGTAAAGACAATTTTATAGTTCATGACTTATATTTTTCATATTACTCACCAGAAAGCCTAAGCCAGCTTACAGCGGTCCCAGCAGTGTGTGAGTATATGTTTCTCCATCACCCTTAATTCAATACTTTTTAAAAATTCGTAGTTTCCTAGTGTAATACATATTTGGTAGTAAATTAAAGTTGCTTCTATGTTCATTGGTGTCATGTGAGCAGTTCAACCTGTGGCAATCTACTATCCGCATTATCCTATGTGGAAACTGGTGGCGCATCTACTTCCCTCAGCCTAAGGAAGAGCCATGTCTTCTTATATGAGCCCGTTCAGTAACGGAGGAAGGCTTTGGCTCCCAGACCTGTGTTCACCTCCTGCCTTCAGTGCACTTCAGCCAAGCACATGAAACCTTGGAGCCTCAATTCTTTCATCTATAAAATGAGGGAAGAAACAGGGTTGCAACTTAGCTCACTGCCTAGCAACAAATAAATAAGTGCTCAGTAATTGCCACATATTAATTGCTATATTTAGCATCAGTCTCTTAAACCACTTGGATCGTAGCTATTAACCACTTATACTCATCACATACCTATTCCTCATTTCATTATTTACTTTACATCTGAAATACCTGGAAGCTGAAGTGGTGCATGTAAGCTTTCCAGTTTCCATTAGTATCGTGGTTGACATGAAATCCCTCAAAACGTGCTACCTGCGATGTAAGGTATGAATTAAAGTTCATTCGGCCATGAATTGTTGCTGTGGCTAGGTGATGCTGAGCTGGTAGAAGAGGATGAAGCACTCCCGATCCTGCACCTCCTCACAATGATTGCCCTGACTGAGCACATGGTTGCAGCCACTGTGTCGAGACGGCTTGCTGAGGCTCTTCTTTCGCACGGACCCTCCACTCTCTCCAGCATGAGATCCTTTTCTAGAGGCTGGTCTCTCCGGATCGGTGTCCGAAGCCTAGGAGACAGACTCGCCAGCCTGCCCTCTGAAGGACACTCAGACTGTATTTCTTCCAGGACAGATGAGCCCGCTCTCCTTGCAGTCCAAAATAATATCAATAGGCTTCATCAACTCCATAATTCGAAGGTCTTTGTTCTTCTCTGGTCATCCTTGTTCATTCTCCAGCTTTCACGTGCTTATGAGGAGACTAAAAGGCCCATGGCTTATAAATTATCAAGGGTTCATGAGGGAAAGGGGAGCAGGGAGGGAGGGGGAAAAATGAGCTGATGCCAAGGGCTTAAGTGGAGAGCAAATGTTTTGAGAATGATGAGGGCAACGAATGTACAAATGTGCTTGACACAATGCATGTATGTATGGATTGTGATAAAAGTTGTATGAGCCCCCAATAAAATGATTTATAAATAAATAAAAGGTCCATGGCTTGAATCAGGCAAACCTCAATCTTCAAAGTGACATCTTATTTGCAAAGAGATTTTTGCAGATTTGCCCAATGTAATACATTGTTTGATTTCTTGGCTCCTGCTTCTATAAGCATTAACTGTGGGTCCAAGTAAAATGAAATCTTTGACAACTTTCTCTGTTTAGGATGATGTTATTATTGGCCTAGTGGTAAGGAACTTTTGTTTTCTTTGAGCTGAGGTGTAACCCATACTAAAGGCTAGAGACATTGATGTTCACCAATAAGTGCTTCAAACCATCTCTGTTTTCAACAAATAGTGTGGCTAATGAGTCTTCCTCTGATCCTAATGCCACATCATGCAAACAGTCCAAGTTCTCGGAGTATTTGTTGCATACACAGATTGAGTAAGTGTGGTAAAAGGATACAAGGTCGGCTCACACTTTACCTGATTTCAAAGCGAGCAGGACCCTTGTTCTGGACACACTAATGCCCTTGGTCTACAGCTGGGTTCTGCATGAGCACAGTGAAGTGCTCTGGAATTCTCATTCTTCGCAATAGTATTCATAATTTGTTATGACCCATGCAGTCCAACGCCTTTTTTTTTCTTTTAAATCATTTTATTGGGGACTCTTACAGCTTTTTCCACAATCCATACCTGATGCCTTCCAGTCAATAAAACACAGATAAAAATCTTTCTAGAATTCTCTGCTTCCGTCAATGAAACCACGATCTACGTCGGCTTCTGAATCTGAGTTGAGTTTTGAGCAGATTTACCCATGATCAATGGTCCCTGCAGCATTTATCCTCACTGTTTTGTTGTTATTGGTTTGTAATACGTTCTGTATGAAGTGTATTCTTGGACTCACTATTTTATTCCATTGGCAGATGTCTACATTTTACCAAACAACATGGTTTCTTTTTTGTTTTGTGTTTTGTGATCTCTGAAAACCTTGGCATAATTCTTATTGTTTAAAAAACCATGGTGTGCTTTTAGGTGTTTTTGTTGTTGTTGTTGTTGTTGTTGTTGTTTATTTCTTTTGCTTTTATTACCTTTTGTCTGCTATAGTTTTTGAATTCAATACATTTTACTATGGGAACACTAACATCAATAGTTCATAGTCTGTTTATTAAGTTAGAAAATAAGTTAGCTATATAAGTACTTATCTATTAGTATCCAGTGTTAGAATCACCGGTGTAGAATCACTAGAGTAGAAAGTCTCATCTTTTCCCTCCACACAGAGGCCGGTGGTTTCGAACTGCTGGTTTGCAGTTAGCAGCTCATATGCATCACACCTAAGCCATCAGGGCTCATCCAAGAACCCTCCAGGGGTGGTCGACGACATTTGGGAAGCATTCACTTGACTCCTTAAAGAGAAAAACAATAATCTTAATATCCCTCTGACCTTTTAGATCAACAAAAATCAGCAGAAGCTTAAAAAAAAATAAGTCACCTATCTCTGAGTCTGACTTGTTCTTACAGCCTGGTGACTGCTGTTTGAATAACCTCTGCGTGTCTGATCCTCCCACACAGCTCAGGCTGGAGCTCCAGAACAAATATTTGTCCTGTTTTTGAACAAAGTTTGAGAGCTTTCTACTTCTTTTCCTTCCTTTTCAAAACGACCATCTCCCTCTCTTGTTCTTTGACCTGGGTTCAGTAGGAAGAGGCGGAATTCTCCACGGCCATCTGGCCTGGGAAGCCTGGCAGAGCCGGCTCCCAGAATGAAAGGACTCCTCTGCTTGTTTTCCTGGCTATTTCTTTCCGAGGCTCAAGGCTTGGAAATCCCCACAAATGGACTTCCTGAAGTAAGTACTCCCAGAAGCCTCCTTGTTGTTGGCCTAGACTCTCTGTGCTCTGTAACTACCCTATTTCTATCCAATAACGAGACTGTGTCAGATGAAAATGGATGATCATATTCCTGTAACAAGTGTTTACCGTCATCATTCCTGGGAAGTATATTTGCCTTTTAAATCACTAACAAGTTTTAAATGTGAATTAGGTTCAGGGGAAGCACATCATTCCTTACCTTAAAACAAAGTTAGGGTTTATAAAAATATACCTAACCCAAAGAGTTGTCATGGGAAATAACGTAACTGCCTGGCAATAGCAAGAATTTAATAATCATTACTTACGATTACCATTAAGGAGCTCTGGTGGCACTGTCAGGTAAAATGTTGGTCTGCTAACTGCAGAGTCAACAGTTCAAAACCACTAGCCACTGCATGAGAGAATGATGACACTATCTACTTTAGTAAAGATTTACCACCTCAAAAATCCCACGTAGAGGTTGCTAGGAGTCCGAAACCAAGATTCATGACAGTGGTTTTGTTAGCATTATGAGGAGCCATAGTATCTCAGTGTTTGAAGCACTCAACTGCTAACAGAAAGGTTGGTGGTTTAAGCCCACCAGCCACTCCATGGGAGACAAATGAGGCGGTCTGCTTGTGTAAAACTAGCACAAGCATAAATGTATTCAAGAAATCATTGAACAAGCTAATGAAATGGCCCGAAAAGAATGTAAAATAATATAATGAATAGCTTTGTACCTGGCCGCGACTGTTTCAAAATCTGACTATTTTGCTTCTTTGACACTTAATTTAAATAAAATATATAGAGATAATCATTCTAAATTCTTTTTAAGTTTGCCGAATATGGAGATCTTGTGGAGCTCGCCCCAGGAAAATTTCAATTTGTACCAGAGAACCGGAGGTATCAGGTATAGTAAGCTTTATTCTAAAAGGGAAAATAAGTGAAAGAGACCATCATGGAAAAAGGAAAATCAGTGTTAACATACCTGTTATAGATTCTCAAGAGTTCGCTCTCTCGCTCTCTCTCTCCCTAGCTGATAAGAATCCAATAGTTTTGTACCTAGTTGGAAATATTGTCCAATAAGGTGAAATGAATACATGCCCTTCAGAGACTCCAAACCATAATAGCTACCTTAGCCCCTTCAAGGATACACGGCTATGTGTCTCCTTCAATACGCAAGATTATGGAACGATGTTACTGCCTTACAATGAATCATTTCTATGCGGAGGGTACTTCTTATCCCCGCAGTCACAGAGAGTCCCTGTGGCAGCCGTAATCTTCTTCTGCCGGCCACTATCGCAGAGAGCGCCTGAGGCAGGGCCACTGGCCTGCTGGAGACAGCATCCAAGAGCCTGCAGCAGAAACATAGACAAGGTCCTCTAATTAATGAGATGAGTTCTCTGGGATGCCTGAAAGAATGTGGGAGTTTCCCCCACACACACACACATAAAGCTCACATGCTAAGAAAGAAAACATTTATGGGAGCAAAGGTAGGCTGACCAATGACCTATTTTGTGCAGGTATGAATTTTTCACTTTATGGACATTTGAGTATTTGATAGATCAATCATATTAAAATCCAATAAGCAATTCAACATTTCAGAGTCTTCATCGTTTTAAGAGAGAAAACGTAGTCATTGAAGAACACACTCAAAAAGTCCAAGAGACAAAGTGGAGACCAAATCCCACCTGCAAGACAATTGAACAGTCCCTCACAGAGGGGCCACATGGTGGTGGAGGGGGGGTAGAATGAGTAATTCAGGGTGCAGTATAGCATGGATGAAACACATAAGTATC